TTGAGTCCTCTGATGTAATAATAGGAGGGAATAATGAAATAGCTGATTTGGTGACAATGAAAAATCCAAATGAAAGAATATTTAAACAGGAGCAAGAAACTGATCCAACATTAGAACAGTGCTTTAAATCGATTAGTAAAGATCCAGTATCACCGGAGAACCCTGAGAGATACTCTGAGGCAAAAGGCCTTTTATATAGGAAGATTTTGATAAACCCCAGGAGAAAAGGGGAGAGCCTACAGAAATTACTAGTGGTTCCTTCCAAATACAGAAAGGAAATAATAGAAAAAGGACACACAGACACCCTATCTGGACATTTAGGTACTGCAGAAACTAATCAAAGAGTGTCTCAGAAGTATTATTGGCCAAAAATGGGAAAAGAGATAAAAGAATTCTGTCAAGCTTGTGACACATGTCAGAGAAAAAGAAATAGTGAGGATAAGGCCAATAGGGAGGACAGGAATAGAGATGATTATAAAAATTATATGGAAGATATTAATAAGATTTTTATTCAACTGAGACAGGAACACTCTGAACAACAGAAACAGGAACACAGAGAGGTGTCAGAACTTGGAAAGAGTGGGAATGAGGTGAAACAGGTCAATTTAGTGTGTACAAAATCAAAAGGAAATCAGGAAACATCATGCTGCCCTGAGATAGTGAAACTGAAAACTTTAGAGGAAAGTAAATTGAAGTCAGCAGAAGTAGTATCTAAGGAAAAGATATAGCTAACTGAAAAGGCTGATAATTCTATGGCTGCACCCATAACTAAAACCAAGCAACAAGAAACCCTAGCTAAGAAATTGGAGAATAAAGAATTAGAACTAGAGAAAATTAAATGTGCATCTAATATTAAGCAAGAAGATAAAAGAGAAATGCAAGGAGTACTAATGAAATTTACTCTAGTCATAGAAGAGAGAAAAGAAGTTAGAGGAAAAGCTATGATAAGGATAGCAGGCTATACCCAGCATGAGGAAAGAAATGTCAGACGTATAGCCTCTCCTTTAAAAATTATAAAAGCTAAAAGAAAATACAAGAAGATCCAGTGGTTGAGCAGCTGTAAAGAGACCCTGGAGAAGCTGCACACTGCATTAAAGAAAATTTGGTGTAGTATCCAGAGAGGTCATCGAATCCAGAGAGGTCGTGTCCAGAGATGTCATCGTATCCAGAGAGGTCGTGTCAAGAGACATCTTCATGTCGTGAGAGTTCCAGAGTGTCTTCAACATCATCGCTGAGGTATCCAGATTCGAATCCAGAGCCGTGCTGAGCCAAGCAGACGACGAGAAAGATCATCAGCCAGCTGAGTTCCTGAGTGGAAAGCTGCAGCCGAGGTGGAGA